CAAAACAGTACACTTGGAAGGCCATCACACTCAGACAACGAGGAATCACCTAAGTAAGTACCATAACAGAGTCGCTGCAACACCTAGCATCCTATGGCCAAGGATACTAGACGTTATAGTTCCAAACACTTTGGGACAAATTGGGGCAATGGAGGACCATGAGGATAGTGTAGTCATTCCACGTCACTCGGTTTGTATTTGGTCATTTAATAAGACGGTAAATTTGCAAGGGGGTGCAGTCCAAAATTTGCGCAGAATTTGGAGGGGTTCCTATTTGACCCTCTTTGATTGCGACTTGTCTTTCTTGCGCGACGATTTCTTCTGCATGCGCTTTGGGGAGCCGGTGCCCTTCCAGATCTCCACAAAGGTCCTGCCTTTGGTTTCTGGGACTTTCTTGAAAACGTAGATAAAGATGCCGACACAGAATGGCCAGAAGAGGACTAAGCTGTAGGGTCCAATTTCCGGCTGGAGAAGGAAGAGAAGCAGGGAAGTTAACCTCCGTGTTTTGGCAAGGGTAAAAGGTTTCTGAATGCCACCTAGTGGCTGTTTTGGGCATTTTCATAAACTGGTAGCAGTGTTTACAGGGGACTCTGTGGCAAATGCTTCAGCTGTACTTAATAAAAGTAGGAAAATCAGCTTTGTAAATACTGACTTATTATCAGTAAATGTTTGATGAATTGTTGAAGGGGTCTTAATGCCACCTAGTGGCTGTTTTTGGCATTTCACTAATTGGTAGCAGTGTTTACAGTGGACTCTGTGGCAAATGCTTCAGCTGTACTTCATTAAAGAAGGAAAATCAGCTTTGTAAGTGCTGACTTATTAACAGTAAATGTTTGTATTGTCGAAGGTTTCAGAATGCCACCTAGTGGCTGTTTTTGGCATTGTCACTAATGGGTAGCAGTGTTTACAGGGGACTCTGTGGCAAATGCTTCAGCTGTACTTCATTAAAGAAGGAAAATCAGCTTTGTAAGTGCTGATTTATTATCAGTAAATGTTTGATGAATTGTTGAAGGGGTCTTAATGCCACCTAGTGGCTGTTTTTGGCATTTCACTAATTGGTAGCAGTGTTTACAGTGGACTCTGTGGCAAATGCTTCAGCTGTACTTCATTAAAGAAGGAAAATCAGCTTTGTAAGTGCTGACTTATTAACAGTAAATGTTTGATGTATTGTCGAAGGTTTCAGAATGCCACCTAGTGGCTGTTTTTGGCATTGTCACTAATGGGTAGCAGTGTTTACAGGGGACTCTGTGGCAAATGCTTCAGCTGTACTTCATTAAAGAAGGAAAATCAGCTTTGTAAGTGCTGACTTATTAACAGTAAATGTTTGATGTATTGTCGAAGGTTTCAGAATGCCACCTAGTGGCTGTTTTTGGCATTGTCACTAATGGGTAGCAGTGTTTACAGGGGACTCTGTGGCAAATGCTTCAGCTGTACTTCATTAAAGAAGGAAAATCAGCTTTGTAAGTGCTGACTTATTAACAGTAAATGTTTGATGTATTGTCGAAGGTTTCAGAATGCCACCTAGTGGCGGTTTTTGGCATTGTCACTAATGGGTAGCAGTGTTTACAGGGGACTCTGTGGCAAATGCTTCAGCTGTACTTCATTAGCTGTGGTTTTTGAGTTATGTTAATCCCACGAATGAACATTACATTTTAATTTATATAGATACTAGCCATCCCCTGCCACGCACTGCTGTGGCCCAGTCTGTCTATATGTGTTTTGTGTGTGTATATGTCTGTGTGTATATATTTGTGTACATGTTTATATATGTGTGTTTGTGTATATATGTGGTTTTGCGCATGCTTTGTAAAAAAAATTTTTTTTTGGCTTTTTAAGTTTTTTTCTGCTATGTTTTTCAGTGTTTTTATGAGTGATGGTCACTTGTTGGCCTGATAGGTGTTATTGTGTCCAAATTTGGTGTCAATTCGTCCAGTGGTTTTTGAGTTATGTTAATCCCACAAACAGCCAAGTCACAGATCCCATAGTCCAATGTCCAATGTTAATTTTTCCAATAGGACAAAGCTCGCCCGCAAAGGATGACTTGGCCTCACCTCCAGGAAGATGAAGATCACTGACACAAGTGTCCTGGTCAACCAGTTCATAAACCCTGAAAGCATGTAGGCTGTGCCCCGGGAAGACTGGAGGAAGAGTTCTCCGGTGAGCAAGTAGGGGATGGGACCTGTAGGGAGAAAAGGTTTCCAAGGTCAAAGGCTTTGACTGGCAGATTTCACAACCTAAGGAAGGGAAACCTCTGCTTTGTAGCTGGGGTGATCCCATTAACATCTGGGATGAACTGCCTTCAGTGGCCTATGCTCCTAATAATCTGTTGGCTAGACTACTGCAATGGTTCTGTGTGGGGCTGGCCTTGAAGGCCGCGCCAAAAACGGCAGGAAAGTGCACTGAAGTGAGTTCAATTCGGGGCACCAGAAGGTCTGATCTTTAGAGTATATACGAGAGTTGTTTGATCGTGTTCGTTAGTTTCTAAAGTCATTATTAATTCATATTTAAATTAGCTTACGATCCAATATCGAGCCATGCAGGAATAGTGTGAGGAGTAATTAAGAATCGAAACAATTTTTCCAAATTTTCGTAATTATTTCGTAATTATTAAGACGGGAAAGAAGGAGAGAAAAGGTGCCAGCGTTGCCTTTCCTCCCCATCCTCCTCCTCCTCCTCCTCCTCCTGGAGATATTTTATTATCTTATTACTTATTTTATTATTTTATTATTTATTTTATTATTTTATTATTTTATTATTTTATTATTTTATTATTTTATTATTTTATTATTTTATTTATTATTTTATTATTTTATTATTTTATTATTTTATTATTTTATTATTTTATTATTTTATTAATTTTAAGTGATTTTAATTTGTATTTTTACTAACTTAATGTATTTTAATTTCATCCTGAATTTCAGAAGTTCCCCCTGTCCCGTTTGGAGGTGTTTTTAGCGCATTGCGCAATCGCGTCCGCCATTAACGAATCGATTCGTAATTAACGAAATTTCGTAAATTTCGAAATTTTGAAATCTTAAATTTCGGAAGTCCTCAGAAATTCGAAACGCTGGCGCCCCCTGGAAACGAAGCGAGTTTAGAACCAATTTTTTTCTTGATCAAACAAGCCTATTATTTACTATATATCCCAGAATCATAGAGTTGGAAGAGACCTCATGGGCCATCCAGTCCACCCCCCTGCCAAGAAGCAGGAAAATTGCATTCAAAGCACCTCCAACAGATGGCCATCCAGCCTCTGTTTAAAAGCTTCCAAAGAAGGAGCCTCCACCACACTCCAGGGCAGAGAGTTCCACTGCTGAACAGCTCTCACAGTCAGGAAGTTCTTCCTCATGTTCAGATGGAATCTCCTTTCTTGTAGTTTGAAGCCATTGTTCCGTGTCAGGATTATTGAAGGTATGCATGTATGTTTTTTCAATGTGTTTCTAGATAATTAAGAATGGATTAATATGTATTCAAGATGGATTCAGGTATGTTCAGATATGTTCAATTGTGTGTTGGAATTGTTGTCGTAAGAGACAGAGAGGCAGAGAGAAAAGACCTTGACAGAAGTTAGATAACGAGTTTCTCTGGCTGGGAAGAAATAGGGAGTATCCGGCTTACAGCCAGAGAGCCTGATAAGCAAATGTTCCGAAACAGTACTGAAGCTGTGCTTTGTAGTTCCTGATGTAAGCCCACTTAGAATAGACGTGTGTAGAAGTACTGAGTAAACTTTGTGTTATTTTGAAACTGGAAGACTGCAGTGTCCTGTTTTGTGTCTGTGTGATCTAGTAACCTCATCCGCTATGCATAGCCCAAATTATTTCACTCTGACATAAAAGCCTACAAAGAAGGAGCCTCCACCACACTCTAGGGCAGAGAGTTCCACTGCTGAACAGCTCTCACAGTCAGGAAGTTCTTCCTCATGTTCAGGTAGTTTGAAGCCATTGTTCCATTGCGTCCTAGTCTCCAGGGAAGCAGAAACCAAGCTTGCTCCCTCCTCCTCTGACTTCCTCTCACATATTTATACATGGCTATCATATCTCCTCTCAGCCTTCTTTTCCTCAGGCTAAACATGCCCAGCTTTTTAGGCCGCTCCTCATAGGGCTTGTTCTCCAGACCCTTGATCATTTTAGTCCTCCTCCTCTGGACACATTCCAGCTTGTCAACATCTTCCTTCAACTGTGGTGCCCAGAATTGGACACAGTACTCCAGGTGTGGCCTAACCAGAGTCCAACCTATGAAAGTCCAACTTATGGAAGTGATATCTATAGTTTCACCTACACCTCCTCCAGCAAAATCTGTAAGAATTCTCTATGTCCTCCTTTATGTGATTCTAGGGCATGCCAGAGTTTTTCTGGAGGAGCTAGCAAATTCCTAGAAAGGATAACTCTAGGAGTATTTTAGGTTAGCTGTTCTCAAAGTGTGCTCCATGGAGCCTTTAGGGTATTGGTGAAGCATTCTGAGCTTTACCAATGATGGAATTGAACCACACTTGCCACACAGAAACTCCCATGACCAACAGAAAATACTGGAAGGGTTTGGTGGGGCATTGACCTTGAGTTTGGGAGTTGTAGTTCACCTACATCCAGATAGTTCACCTACATCCAGAGAGCATTCTGAACTCCACCAATGATGGAATTGAACCACACATATCCAATACGCCCAAGTTTGAATACTGGTGGGGTTGGGGGAAGATTGATTTTGTCATTTGGGAGTTGTGGTTGCTGGGATTTATAGTTGCTACAATCAAAGAGCATTCTGAGCTCCACCAATGATGGAATTGAACCCACCTCGACACACAGAACTCCCATGACCAAGCGAAAATACTGGAAGGGTTTGGTGGGCATTGACCTTGAGTTTTGGAGTTGTAGTTCATCTACATCCAGAGAGAACTGTGGACTCACACATATAGTCTGGACCAAACTTGGCACAAATACTCAATATGCCCAAATGTGAACACTGGTGGAACTTGGGGAAAATAGACCTTGACATTTGGGAGATGTAGTTGCTGGGATTTTTAGTCCACCTACAATCAAAGAGAATTCTGAACACCACCAATGATAGACTTGGGCCAAACTTCCCACACAGAACCACCATGCTTTGAAGGGACTTGCTGGCACGAGCCTCCTTCCAGCCTCACACGCTCTCCCTCACCAACATGTGCGCAACATGCTTCCATGCACTGAGTATGCCTGCTCTCCCCTCCCTGCTTGGAGTCTCAGAAACTGCCCTCCCCTAGAATTGGGCCAAGCTTCCCACACAGAACCGCCATGCATTGAAGGGACCCGCTGGTGTGAGCCTCCTTCCAGCCTCACACACTCTCCCGCACCATGCTACCATGCACTGAGCATGCCTGCTCTCCCCTCCCTGATTTCAGTCTCAGAAACTGCCCTCCCCTAGACTTGGGCCAAGCTTCCCACACAGAACTGCCTTGCATTGAAGGGACTCGCTGGTGTGAGCCTCCTTCCAGCCTCACACGCTCTCCCTCACCAGCATGTGCGCAACATGCTTCCATGCACTGAGTATGCCTGCTCTCCCCTCCCTGCTTGGAGTCTCAGAAACTGCCCTCCCCTAGAATTGGGCCAAGCTTCCCACACAGAACCACCATGCATTGAAGGGACTCGCTGGTGTGAGCCTCCTTCCAGCCTCACACACTCTCCCTCACCAGCATGTGAGCACCACGCTGCCATGCACTGAGCATGCCTGCTCTCCCCTCCCTGCTATCAGTCTCAGAAACTGCCCTCCCCTAGAATTGGGCCAAGCTTCCCACACAAAACCGCCATGCATTGAAGGGACCCGCTGGTGTGAGCCTCCTTCCAGCCTCACACACTCTCCCTCACCAGCATGTGCGCACCATGCTACCATGCACTGAGCATGCCTGCTCTCCCTTCCCTGATTTCAGTCTCAGAAACTGCCCTCCCCTAGACTTGGGCCAAGCTTCCCACACAGAACTGCCTTGCATTGAAGGGACTCGCTGGTGTGAGCCTCCTTCCAGCCTCACACACTCTCCCTCACCAGCATGTGCGCACCATGCTACCATGCACTGAGCATGCCTGCTCTCCCTTCCCTGATTTCAGTCTCAGAAACTGCCCTCCCCTAGACTTGGGCCAAGCTTCCCACACAGAACCGCCATGCATTGAAGGGACCCGCTGGTGTGAGCCTCCTTCCAGCCTCACACACTCTCCCTCACCAGCACACACTCTCCCTCACCAGCATGTGCGCACCATGCTACCATGCACTGAGCATGCCTGCTCTCCCTTCCCTGATTTCAGTCTCAGAAACTGCCCTCCCCTAGACTTGGGCCAAGCTTCCCACACAGAACTGCCTTGCATTGAAGGGACTCGCTGGTGTGAGCCTCCTTCCAGCCTCACACACTCTCCCTCACCAGCATGTGCGCACCATGCTACCATGCACTGAGCATGCCTGCTCTCCCTTCCCTGATTTCAGTCTCAGAAACTGCCCTCCCCTAGACTTGGGCCAAGCTTCCCACACAGAACTGCCTTGCATTGAAGGGACTCGCTGGTGTGAGCCTCCTTCCAGCCTCACACACTCTCCCTCACCAGCATGTGCGCACCATGCTACCATGCACTGAGCATGCCTGCTCTCCCTTCCCTGATTTCAGTCTCAGAAACTGCCCTCCCCTAGACTTGGGCCAAGCTTCCCACACAGAACTGCCTTGCATTGAAGGGACTCGCTGGTGTGAGCCTCCTTCCAGCCTCACACACTCTCCCTCACCAGCATGTGCGCACCATGCTACCATGCACTGAGCATGCCTGCTCTCCCTTCCCTGATTTCAGTCTCAGAAACTGCCCTCCCCTAGACTTGGGCCAAGCTTCCCACACAGAACTGCCTTGCATTGAAGGGACTCGCTGGTGTGAGCCTCCTTCCAGCCTCACACACTCTCCCTCACCAGCATGTGCACACCATGCTACCATGCACTGAGCATGCCTGCTCTCCCTTCCCTGATTTCAGTCTCAGAAACTGCCCTCCCCTAGACTTGGGCCAAGCTTCCCACACAGAACTGCCTTGCATTGAAGGGACTCGCTGGTGTGAGCCTCCTTCCAGCCTCACACACTCTCCCTCACCAGCATGTGCGCACCATGCTACCATGCACTGAGCATGCCTGCTCTCCCTTCCCTGATTTCAGTCTCAGAAACTGCCCTCCCCTAGACTTGGGCCAAGCTTCCCACACAGAACTGCCTTGCATTGAAGGGACTCGCTGGTGTGAGCCTCCTTCCAGCCTCACACACTCTCCCTCACCAGCATGTGCGCACCATGCTACCATGCACTGAGCATGCCTGCTCTCCCTTCCCTGATTTCAGTCTCAGAAACTGCCCTCCCCTAGACTTGGGCCAAGCTTCCCACACAGAACTGCCTTGCATTGAAGGGACTCGCTGGTGTGAGCCTCCTTCCAGCCTCACACACTCTCCCTCACCAGCATGTGCGCACCATGCTACCATGCACTGAGCATGCCTGCTCTCCCTTCCCTGATTTCAGTCTCAGAAACTGCCCTCCCCTAGACTTGGGCCAAGCTTCCCACACAGAACTGCCTTGCATTGAAGGGACTCGCTGGTGTGAGCCTCCTTCCAGCCTCACACACTCTCCCTCACCAGCATGTGCGCACCATGCTACCATGCACTGAGCATGCCTGCTCTCCCTTCCCTGATTTCAGTCTCAGAAACTGCCCTCCCCTAGACTTGGGCCAAGCTTCCCACACAGAACTGCCTTGCATTGAAGGGACTCGCTGGTGTGAGCCTCCTTCCAGCCTCACACACTCTCCCTCACCAGCATGTGCGCACCATGCTACCATGCACTGAGCATGCCTGCTCTCCCTTCCCTGATTTCAGTCTCAGAAACTGCCCTCCCCTAGACTTGGGCCAAGCTTCCCACACAGAACTGCCTTGCATTGAAGGGACTCGCTGGTGTGAGCCTCCTTCCAGCCTCACACACTCTCCCTCACCAGCATGTGCGCACCATGCTACCATGCACTGAGCATGCCTGCTCTCCCTTCCCTGATTTCAGTCTCAGAAACTGCCCTCCCCTAGACTTGGGCCAAGCTTCCCACACAGAACTGCCTTGCATTGAAGGGACTTGCTGGTGTGAGCCTCCTTCCAGCCTCACACACTCTCCCTCACCAGCATGTGCGCACCATGCTACCATGCACTGAGCATGCCTGCTCTCCCTTCCCTGATTTCAGTCTCAGAAACTGCCCTCCCCTAGACTTGGGCCAAGCTTCCCACACAGAACTGCCTTGCATTGAAGGGACTCGCTGGTGTGAGCCTCCTTCCAGCCTCACACACTCTCCCTCACCAGCATGTGCGCAACATGCTTCCATGCACTGAGCATGCCTGCTCTCCCCTCCCTGCTTGGAGTCTCAGAAACTGCCCTCCCCTAGAATTGGGCCAAGCTTCCCACACAGAACCGCCATGCATTGAAGGGACCCGCTGGTGTGAGCCTCCTTCCAGCCTCACACACTCTCCCTCACCAGCATGTGAGCACCACGCTGCCATGCACTGAGCATGCCTGCTCTCCCCTCCCTGCTATCAGTCTCAGAAACAGCCCTCCCCTAGAATTGGGCCAAGCTTCCCACACAGAACCACCATGCATTGAAGGGACTCGCTGGTGTGAGCCTCCTTCCAGCCTCACACACGCTCTCCCTCACCAGCATGTGCGCAACATGCTTCCATGCACTGAGCATGCCTGCTCTCCCCTCCCTGCTTGGAGTCTCAGAAACTGCCCTCCCCTAGAATTGGGCCAAACTTCCCACACAGAACCCCCATGACTAACAGAAAATACTGTGTTTTCTGATGGTCTTTGGCGACCCCTCTGAGACCCCCTTGTGACCCCTCCAGGGGCCCCGACCCCCAGGTTGAAAAACGCTGCCGTAAGGATATACGGTACCGGATCACCCACCTGGCCCAATCATGTGCCCAATGAGGAAGATGATGATCACAAACGAGCTGAAATAAGGCATGACTGACATGTATTGGGCCTGTGGAGAAAGTTGGCTTTAGAGAGGCATAGATAAGACAGCAAGGTGCCCTCTTCTTCAAAACTATGGTCCTCTGACCCCTGAAATTCCTTTGTAACAAGGGTGCAACGGGGGGTAAACAACAAACCTGAAATTCGAGGGTCACAGCGAGTATGATGCAAGTTATGCTACAAACCATGAAGCCAAGGAGAAGCAGAAACCGCCGTCCCATGTAATCGATGAAATTCGTCTGGAGGACAGCATGAAAGAAAGATGGGAGAAGGAAAGAGAGAGGGAGGCTGGAGACTTCTGTTGAAAGCCCAGCTCCGAAGGCGCGCATTCAAGGTTGGCCATCGTAATGTGCCAAAAGATTACCCAACACCAATGTGGGCAATATATTGGAGAAATACCGTATATACTCCAAGATAAGCTGAGTTTTTCAGACCTTTTTATGAGCTGAAAAAGCCTCCCTCGGCTTACATTGGGGTCAAGCTGGGCAGCGGAGCCTGAAGAACATTGCTTGCAATATATGATATATTCTTCTCTCCTTTTCCCCTCCCTAAACAGTGTGTTTCCTTTTCTGCTTCTGCTCTGCTTCTCCTCCCAGGCTGGAATGTTTTGAAAAGGGAAAGGAGGGGGAGAGAAGCCCTTGCAATGTATGATATATTTTTCTCTCCTCTTCCCCTCCCTAAATAGTGCATTTTCTTTTTCTGCTTCTGCCCTGCTTCTCCTCCCAAGCTGGGATGTTTTGAAAAGGGAAATTTATTTATTTATTATTTATTTATTTAAAAGTTTTGTATACCGGCCTTCTCACCTCTCTTGAGGTGAGGGACTCAAGAGAGGTGAGAAAGGAGGGGAGAGAATCCCTTGCAATCTATGATATATTTTTCTCTCCTCTTCCCCTCCCTAAACAATGTGTTTTCTTTTCTGTACTGCTTCTCCTCCCAGGCTGGAATGTTTTGAAAAGGGAAAGGAGGGGGAGAGAAGCCCTTGCAATCTATGATATATTTTTCTCTCCTCTTCCCCTCCCTAAACAGTGTGTTTTCTTTTCTGCTTCTGTTCTACTTCTCTTCCCAGGCTGGAATGTTTTGAAAGGGGAAAGGAGAGTGAGAGAAGCCCTTGCAATAGATGATCTATTTCTCTCTCCTCTTCCCTCCCTAAACAGTGTGTTTTCTTTTCTGCTTCTGTTCTACTTCTCCTCCCAGGCTGGAATGTTTTGAAAGGGGAAAGGAGGAGGAGAGAAGCCCTTGCAATATATGATCTAGTTTTCTGTCCTCTTCCCCTCCCTAAACAGTTTGTTTCCTTTTCTGCTTCTGCTCTGCTTCTCCTCCCAGGCTGGAATGTTTTGAAAAGAGAAAGGAGGGGGAGAGAAGCCATTGCAATATATGTTCTAGTTTTCTGTCCTCTTCCCCTCCCTAAACAGTGTGTTTTCTTTTCTGCTTATGCTCTGCTTCTCCTCCCAGGCTGGAGCATTTTGAAAAGGGAAAGAAGGGGGAGAGTAGCCCTTGCAAGTCAGGAATATCAATTAATCTTATCCCCGGAAATACTTGTCCCCGGAAATACGGAATTTCCCCTCAGGGGGAAATGCATATGTGAAATTAGTATATATAATTATAGATCTATATTTTGCTCTGCATTGTTTATATAGGCATTGGACGTTTGCCTGTTATTATGTTGGAAGTCAATACGTTTTCCCAGGTTTTGGTGATAAAATTAGGTGTCTCCGCTTATATTCGGTTTGGCTTATACTCGAGTATATACGGTATATAAAAAGAGTCAGCATGCCCCACAAAAACCAACAATTCCAGAATGTCCTGGATCTAGGATTGGGGAGAGAGGAGGTGAGAACAAAGTGGGAGAGGGTTACCATTATTATGAGTGCCACGTGCATAACGACGTTCACCACTATGAGTGAGAAACGGATATGGCGGCCTTCGAAACGCATGTTCGTGTAGACTCTTTCTGCATAGACATACACCTGGGATGAGAACACAGTAATTTGAGTTTAGTAATTTGAGTTTAGCTTTTTAACTGCGGGGTCCATTTCACTGGGACGCCTCACTCACCCCATTGATCCCAGTTAATTGATTCCCCATCATCAACAAGACTGCGCTGAGAAGGGGTTTCTGGAGGTCTCGGCAGCTTAGGAGCTTAACTGCATTCAGGTGCTTTTTGTCCCTTTCACAGATGCTCTCCACGCGCATCTCTTCCAATTCTTCCTCCAAATTACTCTCACCTCTCAGCTTCTTCAGGGCTGCGGGGAAGAGGAGGGATGGAGAGGCAGAGGAATGTGGAAGTGAACATTCAGAGTCAAGGACCTGTAAATTCAAAGTGAGAGATCTGCAAATTGCATTGCATGCCCAGGGAAAGGGACCTGTGGGTTGAATTGCACATTCAGAGCGAGGGACCTGCAAATTGGATTGTACATTCGGAGGAAGGGAACTGTGGGTTGAATTTCACATTCAGAGCGAGGGACCTGTGGGTTGAATTGCACATTCGGAGCGAGGGACCTACAGATTGGATTGTACATTCGGAGGAAGGGACCTGTGGGTTGAATTGCACATTCAGAGCGAGGGACCTGTGGGTTGAATTGCACATTCGGAGCGAGGGACCTACAGATTGGATTGTACATTCGGAGGAAGGGACCTGTGGGTTGAATTGCACATTCAGAGCGAGGGACCTGTGGGTTGAATTGCACATTCGGAGCGAGGGATCTACAGATTGGATTGTACATTTAGAGGAAGGGACCTGCGGGTTGAATTTCACATTTGGAGGGAGGGACCTGTGGGTTCGCACACTCAGAGCGAGGGACCACTGCACATTTGGAGTGAGGGAGCTGCAGATTGGATTGTACATTCAGAGGAAGGGACCTGTGCATTGAATTGTTTATTTGGAGGGAAGGACCTGCGAGGTGAATTGCACATTCAGAGCGAGGGAACTGCAGGTTGAATTGCAAATTTGGAGCAAGGGATCTGCAGGTTGAATTGCACATTCAGAGCGAGGGATCTGCAGGTTGAATTGCCCATTCAGAGCAAGGGAACTGCAGGTTGAATTGCACATTCAGAGCGAGGGATCTGCAGGTTAAATTGCCCATTCAAGGGAACTGCAGGTTGAATTGCACATTCAGAGCGAGGGAACTGCAGGTTGAATTGCAAATTCTGAGGGAGGGATCTTCAGGTTGAATTACACATTCAGAGGAAGGAACCTGCAGGTTGTATTGCACATTTGGAGGGAGGGACCTGCGAGTTGAATTGCCCATTTCAAGGGAGGGACCTGTGGGTTGAATTGGACATTTGGAGAGAGAAGGAACTACAGGTTGAATTTCACATTCGGAGCAAGGGATCTGCAGGTTGATTTACACATACAGAGAGAGGGACCTGCAGGTTGAATTGCACATTCGGAGAGAGGGACCTTTATGTTGAACTGCACATACGGAGAGAATGACCAGCAATCAGTGCCAGCTCTATAAGTGGCACTGACTGCAGATTTAATGTGCAATTAGACGTGCTCTGCAGTTTGAATTGCACATTCGGAGGGAGGGACCTGCAGATTGAATTATACATTTCAAGGGAGGGAACTACAGGTTGAATTGCACATTCGGAGAAAGAGACCTGCAGACTGAATTGCACATTCGGAGAGAGAGACCTGCGGGTTGAATTACACATTTCAAGGGAGGGAACTGCAGATTGAATTTCACATTCGGACCGAGGGATCTGCAGGTTGAATTGCACATTCGGATCAAGGGATCTGCAGGTTGAATTGCATATACAGAAAGAGGGACCTATAGGTTGAATTGGACATTTGGAGGGAGGGACCTTTACGTTGAACTGCACATTCGGAGAGAGGGACCAGCAATCACTGCCAGCTCTATAACTGGCACTGATTGCAGATTGAACGTGCAATTCAACCTGGTTTGCAGGTTGAATTGCGCATTTGGAGGGAGGGACCTGCAGGTTGATTTGCACATTCAGAGCAAGGGACTTGCAGGTTGAATTGTTCATTTGGAGAGAGAGACCTGCAGTTTGAATTGCACATTCGGAGGGAGGGACCTGCAGATTGGATTGTTCATTTGGAAGGAGGGACCTATGGGTTGAATTGCACATTCGGAGGGAGGGACCTGCAGGTTGAATTGTTCATTTGGAGAGAGAGACCTGCAGCTTACATTGCACATTCGGAGAGAGAGACCTGCAGGTTTAGTTGCACATATGGAAGGGAGACTTGCGGGTTGAATTTCACGTTCAGAAGGAGGGAACCTGTGGGTTAAATTGCACATTTGGAGTGAGGGATCTGCAGACTGAATTGCACATACAGAGGGAGGGACATCTATATTGCACATTCGGAGAGAGGAACCACCAATCAGTGCCACCTCTATAACTGAAATGTGAATTTCAATAAAATATAGGTTTTAAGGAATGTTCATTGCTGGTTTTGCCAGTTCCTTCCTCTGAAACGTCCCTCCTCCCCCTGCCGGCACTTGGCATTTGTTCAAGGTCTCTCATCCGAGTTCTACCCAATCTGACCCTTCTTAGCTTCTAGGATCAGAAGGGATCTGGTCATGGCAGGTTATTCAGATACCCAGAGGTAATTCAGAGTCACTCACTCTACCTTCCCGTGCTGCACTTTCATCCTCCTTCTGAATGAACAGAAACCTTGGACTCTCCGGCACGTAATGCCACATTATGATGTTACATATAGCCATAATCCCAGTGAGACTCATATAAAAGGCTGCACCTGTGAAAGAAGACTGGGATATGAGCACCTGACTGGTTATAGGGGAAAAGGATGCATTCACTAAGTAAATCTTTTGGCTTTTTACTGAGTTGTGGCACAGCTGGTTGGGGTTCAGCTGCATTAAAATCACTACTGACCAAGAGGTCATGAGTTCGAAGCCAGCCCTGTCGGAGTGAGTTTCCGGCCATTTGTCTAGCTTACTGTCGACTTTTGCAGCCCAAAAGACACTTGCATCTGTCAAGTAGGAAGTTTAGGTACCACTTATGCAGGGAGGCTAATTTAACTAATTTACGACGCCATAAAACTTTCCAACAGTGTGCAAAAATGAGGAAGTACTCCATCAGTGTCCATCTACGTCATCAGCCAGGTTCAAAGTGTTGAAGAGTCGGGCCAGGGAAATGAAATTGGCTCAAACACTGCCAAACTCCAAGGGCAGACACGGGAGCCGGAAACAACATCATTAGATAAGGGGTCGAGTGAAGAAAAATGAAGTGAAACAGAAAACTCTCAAGGGAAAGGACCTGATGTTACGAAAAGAAGCAAAAATCTTAGTTGAAAGATTAGAGCAAATAATCAGCTCTGTAGGTCTGAGAGATTACATGGGAAAGAGATAGAATGAAGAGGGAGGGGACCAGGAAGACAGTTCCACCTTGTCTCCTGCCTATGTCATCAGCTGGGAGCCCCTCCCCTCAGCACCAACTGCTGCTCTAGGCCAGAATGAAGAGAGAGGGGACCAGGATGATATTTCCACCTTGTTTCCTGACTTTCTCATCATTTGAGAGCCCCTCAGTACCAACAGCTGCTCTGGGCCAGAGTGAAGAGAGAGGGGACCAGGAAGACAGTTCTACCTTGTCTCCTGACTATGTCATCAGCTGGGAGCCCCTCGCCTCAGCACCAACTGCTGCTCTGGGCCAGAGGGAAGAGAGAGGGAACCAGGAAGACATTTCCACCTTGTCTCCTGACTTTGCCATCAGTTGGGGGCCCCTCCCCTCAGCACCAACTGCTGCTCTGGGCCAGAGGGAAGAGAGGGGACCCAGGAAGACATTTCCACCTTGTTTCCTGACTTTCTCATCA